TTGTTAATATGAAGTTACAAAGTAATTAAAAAATTAAGTTACCATTATTGTGTGAATATGATTATTATTACGAATGAAAATTGCTTAGTTTTATGTAAGAGTGTTTGATAATTCAGTTTTACTTAGATAATCTGGTGCGGTGCTGACGTCAACAGTGTGATCACGTGTCTACTACGTCAGGCAATGGCCAACCAAAGCTTGCTTGATTATTTAAAGAATTTAAATGTGTTTGTGAATGGTTAGAGACCTGTTACAATGTCACATATGTGCATTCTGAACTAGCTAAAAATTGAATTAGGGTTTGTAAGATGTATTAAGTAGAATAAAAATAAAACAGTATTCTCCATTTGTAGTTTATTCACAAGGTATACATATTACATTAAAGTTTTTTGTCAATATACGTTACGAGTATGGATTTGTTTCTGCCATTTATTGCAGCTAATTTCCAAAAAATAGAAAAGCACGATAAGCTTATTTATTGTCAGTGAAATATATACAAAAAGGTAGTCTAATATAGTAATGTTAATTTAAAAAAAATTGTGTAGTATAATTCAAATGACAACATGCTATTCTCAGATTATTCGGAGTCTAATAATTTTGATTATTGACGAAGCTTTAAGATTCTTTGATAGCCATATTTTAAAGAATCGATCATTTTTTATTAGAATTATTTACTTATTGTTTGCATAGAATTCGCCATTAAAATTATCCAGTAGGGCTCTGATTCACCCTGTATATGCTGTCCAAATTTATTTAAGTTTTTTGAGATCGTGTTACAGATACAGGGTGAGCCAATAAAACCTTTACTTTTATGAATCTTTGTATTGTTAAAAAATCTAGAAAACTGGCTTGTATGCTTATAAAACCTAAGAAGTGGCCAATCAGTGCAAAAATATGTATATACAGGGTGAGCATTAAGTGGGCGTTTTTCGATGTCTCTTTAATTACAATCAGTGACTAAAGTTGGACGCTTTTTTGAGTGGCATACATGAAAATTATTTTAAACTATACAGAGTGTACTATTTTTTATACATAGCACACCACTTATACATATAGGTTACTCTCATTGGCCTCTTCCTAGGTTTTAAAAGCGTAGTCAATTTTTGAAATTCCGAAACCACGTTGCCATGTCATTCCAATTTATTTATACTTTTTACTCTTAATATACAGGGTCTTTACAACAAAATTCTAAAATATTAGAATTTTCAAATATTGATATTTCCGTTTCTTCAAATAGAACACCCTGTAATGTGATCTTGCATCTTATTCTGTCTCTTGTCTCCCGTTTTCTATTTTGCTTGTTATATTTAAAGTTTGATAGTTATAGCGATCTTTTACTTCTTTCAGAGAGGCGGGTGGGCGTGGCTAGTATACCTGCTAAAATAAGACATACCTTCGAAGAAAAGAGGGGATGGGTGGGCGGGGCTAGCATACCTGCAAAAATAAGACCGATTTTGGAAAATGACATACCCTCTAAGAAAAGAGGGGGCGGTTGGGCAATGTTAGTACCTGCTAGAATAAGACCCATTTTGGCAAATGATATACCCGTTAAGAAAATAGAGGGAGGGTGGGTGGGGCTAGTACCTGCTGATTTTGGCAAATGGCATACCTTCCAAGAAAAGAGAGGGTGGGTGGGCGGGGCTAGTACCTTCTAAGGTAAGGCCGATTTTGGCAAATGACATACCCTCTAAGAAAAGAGAGGGTGGGTGGGTGGGGCTAGTTCCTGCTAAGATAAGACTGATTTTGGCAAATGACATACCTTCCAAGGAAAGAGAGGGTGGGTGGGTGGTACTAGTTCCTGGTAAGATAAGACTGATTTTGGCAAATGACATACCTTCCAAGAAAAGAGAGGGTGGATGGGCGGGGCTAGTTCCTGCTAAGATAAGACTGATTTTGGCAAATGACATACCCTCTAAGAAAAGAGGGGGAAGGTGGGCAATGTTAGTACCTGCTAAAATAAGACCCATTTTGGCAAATGATATACCCGTTAAGAAAATAAAGGGGAGGTGGGTGGGGCTTGTACCTGCTGATTTTGGCAAATGACATACCTTCCAAGAAAAGAGAGGGTGGGTGGGCGGGGCTAGAACCTTCTAAGGTAAGGCTGATTTTGGCAAATGACATACCCTCTAAGAAAAGAGAGGGTGGGTGGGTGGGGCTAGTTCCTGCTAAGATAAGACTGATTTTGGCAAATGACATACCTTCCAAGGAAAGAGAGGGTGGGTGGGTGGTACTAGTTCCTGGTAAGATAAGACTGATTTTGGCAAATGACATACCTTCCAAGAAAAGAGAGGGTGGATGGGCGGGGCTAGTTCCTGCTAAGATAAGACTGATTTTGGCAAATGACATACCCTCTAAGAAAAGAGGGGGCGGGTGGGCAATGTTAGTACCTGCTAAAATGAGACCCATTTTGGCAAATGACATACCCGTTAACAAAATAGAGGGGGGGTGGGTGGGGCTTGTACCTGTTGATTTTGGCAAATGACATACCTTCCAAGAAAAGAGAGGGTGGGTGGGCGGGGCTAATACCTTCTAAGGTAAGGCTGATTTTGGCAAATGACATACCCTCTAAGAATAAGAGAAGGTGGGTGGGTGGGGCTAGTTCCTGCTAAGAAAAGACTGATTTTGGCAAATGACATACCTTCCAAGAAAAGAGAGGGTGGGTGGGCGGGGCTAGTTCCTGCTAAGATAAGACTGATTTTGGCAAATGACATACCTCCAAGGAAAGAGAGGGTGGGTGGGTGGGGCTAGTTCCTGCTAAGATAAGACTGATTTTGGCAAATGACATACCTTCCAAGAAAAGAGAGGGTGGGTGAGCGGGGCTAGTACTTGCTAAGATAAGACTGATTCTAGTAAATGACGTATCCTGTAAGAAATTTAATTAAATAATAATTAAAGACACCAGAGGCTCCAAAGCACTTTCAAATTCTTTCCTATTAGGAATACCTAGAATTCGAAGATTGTTTAAAATTTTTCAAAAATAAATCGGATCCCAAAATTAACTTAAAAACAGATAGGTCAGAATTTTTCAAAAATAGAACACCAAGGTCCCCCAAAATTGTTTGAAATAATTTACAAAAAAATCTCCATGGGCTCCCAAAATAATACACCTTGGGTACCCAAGAGTCCCCCAGACTCACCAGTTGATTGTTAAGAGCGTAGCGGAGAGTGAATCCGCCATTTTCCAGACACCTAGTATTGAAGAGAAAGAGAAAAAAACAAGAGTAAGATGCAGTAATGAAATACAGGGTTCTATTTAAAAAACTGAAGTATAGATATTTAAAAACTGTTGCATTAATTTTTTTTTTATAAACATTCAGTATATTAAAAATTGAGTAATTGATACCACAGCAAAGTGTATACTTCTGTTTACCTCAACATAAAGTGTGCATTGACTTATTTTCTGTATCTGTTGGTTTATCAACTCATCTTACGTCACGTAGCAGCAATCAGTTTAATCAGGATTTAGTCGTTGCTACGCATCTTAAAATGTCTGAGTGGAGGAGACAAAATATTTATCAATTTTTGTAATAATATATCAATGACCTTAAATTGTTGGCGGAATTGTTAAGGAATGGTCAAGAAGATTGTTTGGAGACAACCGGAAGAAAGGAGGAAGAGAGGGTCCAAGGAAAAGATACAGAGAAGCAGTTAGTTATATAAAACCTTTGAGAATACGAAGTGAAGAAATTGACAAGAAAAACTAGAATAGAAAATGGAGAGAAATGACAAACTGGACCCAAAAAGGTCAAACATTCAGGGGGTTATTTTTTGACCTATTTTATTTTTTTTTTTGATAATTTTCGGAATTTTTAACTGTGGGATAGGGTGGATCGATTAATTTATTTTTATCACTCCGGATCTTAGAAATAAAGCGCTTTTCCAAAAATCAGTCCAGGATATATATTTTTTAAAACCAACCCGGGAATATCGCCCTGAATTAGTACACTCTGTATATACTGAGAGAGTAATATAAAAAAACACTACCAAATAGGGCCAGGGATTTTTGAAACTCTATCTTTGATCGTAACATTTTCAACTCAAATTTTCAAATTGACGGTAATTTGACCAAACAAAAATTTTATCAAAGAACAATTTTCAAAAATCCACGATTGTCTTTGATCATATTTTTAATGCTCTCGTGATAGATAATCTTTGTGAAACTTTGAATTTTGAAGCTCTTGTTTTTGTCTAGCTTTGTGTAATATTACACTGTATCACAAATCTACAAAAATGAGTTAGTGGAATCTTGGGTTTCGTCAGAGGTTAAAGGCTTATATAGATGAATGGAAGAAAAACCTGTTAAAACCTCAGTTCCACGGTTTTCTGCAGGTGGTGAGCCAGGATCAAAACCATCTCTTTTTCCACCAAATGGATTTGAACTCAAACGGTTAGAAAAATTATTAAATTAATAACAATTTTTAATATCATTTTGTTATTATTAGTGTACGCATTTTTTACCCATGATTATGACTAAGCTAAATTCAGTTGTAATGTTTTAAACAATTATAACTTTCAATTTTTTCTTCGAGATTTGTCACCAAAATGATCTTTGCTTTATCCCAAGGTGGTCGGAATTTTAAGATCTATCGATTAATTTAGACGGTGATTAATTTAAGTTGTTTTTGTCGTTAGAGCTTCTCAAAAAAGAAACTACAACTGCCCAAAGAAAATGTCCATATGTTCAGCCCACAATTTACTTTGCATCTGTCCGCACTCTATAAAACTTTAATCCAAGTAGAAACCAGCCGAATTATTTAAAAGACAAAAGGCCACAAACGTCTTGTCGTAATTCCTGCGTCGGTCGGCAATATTTAGTCAAGAAAACGCAACGCCAGCAGGTGTACCGCCCTTGCCATCATACCCTGCAGAGACCTCCGCCAACATTTGGCCACTATGGCCACAGGACATCCCCAACAGCGATCAATAGTCCACAACCTGTTCTAACTTTAAATTTAAGTGCCAAGAAAAGTCGTAAAACGTGACACTCCAAGCATACTGACCTGCACACCACGGGTGAACATGTTGTTGGCATGAAGGTGAACAGCACTGAACTCCCTGATGCTATCGAATTCAAAGGTGATATCGAGCGGCTCACCCTCCCGAGTGTCGTTATTCCAGCCCACCCAGCGGCTTCCTGAAAAGAAACGGTCATACAGTTACACCAGCATCGGTCGTTTGTTTTTCATTATGGTCCCGCGTCAACACGGCTTAAATCATTTAGTAACAATTCCTCCGGAACAAACGACGCTCTTTGTTCTTGTTGCAACAGGCAAATATTTAATTACATCCAGGGACCCGCAAAGTGCAAAGCCCTCATTACATTACTTGGGACTCTTTGAGGACTTGCACAGACGTCCGCTAATGCTGGAAGCGCTCTAATTTGGAGTTAATCCCATTTGCTATTAATGTTTTTCATTCATTAAGCCGGCGAGACGGCGTGATCTTTTTGGTGTGAGTTAAGCCCGAGTTTTGTGTTATATTGATATAGGAGCTTCCGGTTGCGAGGGTAAGTTAATTGCACTTGATTAGAGGTAATTGAGTTTTGCTTGTTTTGCAGGTTTTGGTGCTCTAGTGCGGTGGGTGTTAAGTGCACGTTAGGAGTGAAATGGCTGACCGTTTCGGTTGAAAGAGGCGAGAACTGGGAGAAATCGGAATTATTTTCGGTCTAAAAGTCAATATTTTTATAAGTTTTTCTCAAGATGTGTCTAAAAAAGTAACAATACTAGAAAATTTATGTTGCATACGTCTTGAACTTTACTCACGAAACAGGATAAGGATGTAGGTACAGTCGAAACTGGAGCGCAAAGGCTGGAAGAACAATATCTTAAGTAAATCTGGCTTCGATTAAGCTTTCAGCGTTCCCGATCGAAAATAAAATCCCCGGAAATCTGTACAAGTTGTTTCAAATTAAAAGTTATGTTTAATTTCCTGCCGCTTTCGAAACACGCATCCAATCTAATCTGTTCGATTTTTCCCAAATCCGGCCCCCTGTCCTTTCAACTTTCGCTCGCCTCGCTAAATCAATTCTTTAACCAACTGATTGACCACCCCACGAATCGACTCCGGAGATCCGCCGTGCCACCCAGGTGACGTGCCTTGACGAATCCATTAACCTTTAATGGGACACTCGGCGTATAAATTCACCTAAAGAACCTCCTCCACGATGAAGACGCAACAAGTCAGTCCATAAATTAATCCCCCTCCGACCGGAATTGACGTTTCGCCTCTATAATGGCATAATTTCGGGTGGTCGGCAGTCTCGCATAAAAACCCCTTTAAAACGCGCCACCTGTACAAATTCGCGATATTTAAAATTCATGTATTCGACAATGGGAACAGATAGAGCGTGTTCTGTCGGTCTGTTGGCGAAGATAAGGTTGTCGGGGCGCGCTTTATCGTGCCATCTGTGCGCAAATACGCCACCGGTATGTAGCAGCACGTTTCAGAAGAGTTCATGCCCTAATCTCGGGCCAAATACTCCACCTAACCGGAGACATTAACGTCAACGTTGTCTTTGCCGAGACGAAATCGAGTTTCGAGGCGAAAAGCGCAAATACGGAGAGGTTATGGGACTGCAAATTTGAGGATTCTTGCGCGAGGGAGGATTACGGGAGCTGCATCCGCGGCTGGGTTCTGCGATATGTGAGCAACGTAAACAAAGCGGGGGACAGACGCTTTTTCAAAGGCCAAATTTGCCGTCTGCTGAAGTTTCAAGCTCGGGGGCAACGCTCTTGAACCGCTGAACAAAGTCTGTCAGTTTACAATAGTAACACGTAAACATACATCGGATGATTCAATTGCATTTTATCTGTCATTTTGAATAATTTTTGTAAATTTAGATAAAGTTTATTTTAAACATGTTTGCAAAGTTAATTTTATTTTCACCTTTTAGGCAACCAGTAATACTCAACAGCAAAAAAAAAATTAAAATAACATATTGGTGTATGTAAAGGGATCTTTGATTCAAGTTCATTTGAATCACCCGGTGCAATTCTCATCCACTTTGACCCTTCACTACCATTCGTACAAGTGAGACATAATAATTAAGCATATCAGGGACATACTCTTGAATGCGAGACAACCATTGAAATGTACTGTACGAGATCAAAGGAGGTCCAAACTGCAGTCTACAGCTTTTCGTTAAGCTGTCTGGCCGTTCAATGTTGCTTTTCAACAAACGAGCAATAAGCACGAGGAGAGACATCTCGAGTAATTTTAATTTTCAAGAGTTTTGACAGTGTTCAACTCAAGTTTTAACGAATCCTGCTGGTCTATCGCCAAGTACCTTACGATTTTCCTAACATATTCTAGTGCATACAGCGCGCAAGGAGATATTCCATTTGATAAAATAATCACTTTTTACGGCCATCTTTCTTTGTTTATCTTAATTCAATAAAATCATATAAGTAATATGTAGGTATAACATAACCTCCAGATGACAATACCAATACCAGACTTAGTAACAACTTTTAATTTAGATAAAGCTGAGGTTGGCAATCCGGGCGAATTTGGGCCCCGTTTACTCTATGGATTTAGGATCCAAGGTCACTTCTCCCTTATTGGTTATCATTGAACTATCACTGAACTACCGGGTTGTTCTTCTAGTTGTTAAATGGATAGCGTTTACTCATGTGATCATGTCATTTTCTCTGTGTGGCTAAAATTCCTCATTTTGGTATTACAGTGTCAAAGGTCATTTTTGTCTCTTGCTGAAAAAGGTTTGTTCGTTCGTTCCTTTAGAAATTATGTTTTAATTTTAGCCTGCTTGACTAAAGATAGGTACCGAAGATTACTATTTTTCATTTTTTCTGAAACTGGATCCAAATATCCTTTCCAGCGCTACATTTTTTTCGTTTATTGTGCCACATCAAATTTTGTGGCCATTTCGCTGTTTTTATTTGGAATCAAATTACTCAGTCGTTGTTTTTTGATTGAAAAGTCAGTTCTTCTACTACTGGAATGTAGCCAGCATCCCTCTTCATTCCTTGTTTAGCTTAATTTCGTTGTTGAAGAAGTATTCTCTGCTGGAGATTCCGCTTTATAATCATTCAACAAATTAAGTATTTGAATGAGGATTAGTACAATTAAAATAAAAAATTTGTGCACGAGATCACCGGACAAGTTTTGTTGTACTCCATTTTTGAGGTAAACGTTATAGTTTCCGCATAAATTGTAGTGTGGTCTAATTAAAAGCTTTTTTAGGAGAAATCTAATCGCTTTACGCCCCCGATCACGTCTAGGAAGTGTCACTTTTTCGTACTGAAGATTAAAATTATTTTCTTGGACTCATCACTTGTTTCTTTTTTTATTTTTCGGTATGACGATATGAATTTTTCGGCCTCATCTGCCTTACAGAGCTCGACTATGCCTCGACCTCAAACTTCAGATCGGCTGAAAAGGTTCTTCTTTATGGTCCTTTGGGTTTGTAATGTGCAATGTTTAGTTGAATAGTGGTTATATTTAGGTGTTGTAAACCGTGTATGTAGTGAAGGGTTTACGGGGAGATTAGCTGTGTGACTTGTAATTTGGTCCTTCGGCAAATGTATTGGGAAAAGTTGGCAGAAAAATGTGTACGAACTAAACTGATTAGATAATTGTTACACTCCATGTCGTCGTTTTGTTCTTCTTCAGTTTCGATAAAACCGAGCTCGTTTTCATGACTGTGACGCCACTAATTCTGATTGTCAGACACTAATTGTTCTGGAAAGATAGATGCTACAAAAAAGACCTTAGTTTAGTAATTTAGCCTTTTACTTCCCGAGCGTGAGCTAGGCGTCGACTGAGTGTCTAAGATTTTATTAGATACATAATCCTCGAATGTACTAGCTTGATTGTTGTGAAATTTTAATCTGGTTTAAAAATACAGTGTAGATCGCTAAATCCTAATTAAAATTTGTCTGTTCAGCCTCAGTAAAAATTTGATGACGTCAGCTGAAAATTTGGCTAAACAATATGTATGTACCTGTATATTTCACACCCTGCCTTAGTTTTTACATTGTGCACGTAAGTTTCTGGGAAAAAATTCAAAATTCCACTACAAAATTTGAAATTTATTTTAGGAACCACAAAGCCAATTCTTTCGAAATTTTGCACATATGAATTCTCTATTTTTACTTCCCAAACGTAGTTAAGGAAGTATTGTAATTGACGACTGGCTAGTTTCACATTTTCTCGATGTGTCAAAAAAACGGGTTTCCCGTTTCCGTTTGTCTGTCTGTCAGATGAACTACTGGACCGATTGTTGTCAAATTTTGTATGTATATCAGGAATATCGTTTAGATGGTAAAACACAAACCAAAATTCTTTTAATCATTCCGACCACCAACGTGTGACATCCCCCCAAAATTTTTCGTAGTAAGTAGGCTTTAAATTTTATAAAATGTACTCCTCTACTTCTTGTTTATAAATCCGTCTTCAGATTTTCCATAAAGCATCCAAATTTTTGCAAAAAACTCGAAAATGTACGGCAAGTTCTGATACCAGTATATGCAGAGTTCGTACAGTAGTTCTGGAAAATTAGGCTATAAAAATCGACACAGACAGACGGTAGACGACAGACAAACACAAACGTGAGATCTATTTTTTCGTATTCTCTTTTCGTAGCAAAGCGAAATTTTACATTATATTTAATTTTTTTGCCCTGTTTTATTTGGCTTCACTAAATTGTTTGTTAGTTAAGGTCAATTAAATAATAATAATAATGATAAAAAAACAATTATTAACAAAAAGAAAAACGCAAAAAGGCAAAAAAAATGCTATTTATTTTAACCCATTATAAACCACAAATAAACAATAAAAAAATGGATGATTAGAAACTAATTATCGTAAAGGGTTTGTTAATTTATTTTGTAAGAAGTCAATTTCTAATGAAACTTATTGCTGAGCGTTTTCACTTACTAGTTAAGTGACGAAGATTGCAGTCAAAATAACAGAATGACAACTAGATTCTGCATTTCACATTTAAACGACCTTAGACTTTCCGGGGAGATTTTAATTGTAGAAAACCAGCTAGAATTTGAAATCGGGATGAACGGAAAGCAAAAAAAAGCAACGGAATATATAATATTGTTCATATTCTTTTATAAAATTTAAATAACAAAATTTTGAGGTTACGTCATTGCATTTTAATCGGGATGATTAGACAAATTTTGGTTAGCGAATTACCATCTATAATTTATATATATTCCTTAAATATATAAAAAAATGGCAACACTAGATCCCGTAGTTTTCGAAAATGATCTGACAAGCTTGGTCCTGATTTAAATCATTTTTGTTTTTTTTATTATTTCGTTTGTGTCGATTTTATTAGACAGAAAATCTTCGAAACTATTGGACTGATTGTTATCAAGTTTTATTTGTACTTTAGGAATAATGTGAAAATGGTAAAAAGATAACCAGATAACCAAAATGTGTCTAAGTCTCTCCACCAACATTTTGACGACAGCTAAAAATTTTGCATAGTAAATGCTATTCAACTTTGATAAAATAGCAACTCTGTATTTGTGTTTTATGAATCCGCCTCGATTTATTTAATGTATAGGAGTTATGAAAACAATAAAATTCCGAAATGAAATTTTAATATTAAGCTATATTTATTGGACTACATTTTGGGGGCGAAGGAAATTCTATCTACTATTCTAGACTGTTTTCTTTATTTTAACAATGGGTATAAATGATCCTGATTTAAAAAAAAAAGTTTTTTTTTTATCCGATTTTTTCCAACCCTGTAAAAACATTAATAAATTATTCAGTTTCATAATAATAAGTTCTACGAATTTTTTACAAATTTTTGTGGCCCATTACGTAGTCGTTTCTGTCTTTTTAATTCTTTTTTTGTAAATAGTTGTCCAAAATTTTATCAATGTCTTGGTACAAATTAGTACTTTTGGCTTTCCGGAGTTTTTTCCTAGAAAAAGTTAGGAAAAATTATCACGATAATTGCTTACATTATGAAGTTGTATGGATTTAGAACTAAAAAAAATTTAGTCGAAGATATTTAGAGAGGCAGAACTTCTCTCATTCCTGAATTACAGGCCAAAAATCTAGCTTGTTTAAAAAATTATAAACTTTGTTTTGGCGTAGTTTTATTTATTTTATTGTAACCTATAAATTAAGAAAATATAGGTAATACTGGTCACAGTGTAAGAAAAAAACGCCTTCGAACGTTTCTATTGACTTCAGAATGATTTAATACAGGTGACCCAAAAAAAAAAAAAAATAAATTGTATGCATGAAAATGAAGAACTCCAAAAAATCTAGATTTATTTACCTTCGACCAGTTCCTTGATATTACAATTTTTCATTTGTTCTTTTTCTTGGTTTTACAATTTTTTGATATCACAATTTTTCGTTTTTTCATTTTCTTTATTTTTCAATTTTTCTATTAACTCAACTTTCAAAATTTTCAATTTTTCGTTTATTCAGTTTTTGAAGTCCCCGATTTTCCAATTTTTAAATTTTCCAGTTTTGCAATTTTTGGATTTTTCAGTTATCCGATTTTAAGATTTCTTTAATTTTCAGTATTTCGATTTTATAAAATTTCATGTTTTCGATTTTAAAATTTCACAATTTTCAATTAAGAGATAGTGAGAAATGAAAAGTTGACCAAAAATCGAGAAAATAAAAAATCGATAAATATTGAAAAATCGAAAAACTGAAAAATCGAGAAATTGGACAATTGAAAAAGGGGATGTGCGGTTGTAACACAAATAATAAACTGTTATGTCTTGTGTGTTTCTTCAGTAATGACTAATGAATAATGAGTTAAAACCACAGGTATGTGGGCAAATACTTTTTTAATTCTATTGAATGTGTTTTGTAATTTATTTCCGTCACATAATTCCGTCTATTAATTGGTAATAATGGCCTGTTTTATATCTTCATATTTAATTCATCGATTAGATTGTGTCCCCCAACAACTCAAAAGGTCACGAGCCGCCACTGTTGCATGGATCGAGTTCTAAGAGCTTTTTGACTTTGTCGCTGTCATCCTCATTCACCAATTCTACATCAGTATTGTGGAGGTTCTTAAAACCAAATATCTTTGTCTGTACTTAATTTGGAAGGGTTAGAAGTGATTTTTCGCCAAATTACTTCTTGAAGTCGTTACTGTCATGTAGCGGGTAAGCTCAAGATCAAATTTTGTTTCTTTGGACACTCGATTCTACATTCTTCTTCTTGGTCTTCTAAAATTCATTCAAGAAATTGAGTTCTCGTTCCTATGTTAGAACTTTTTTACGTTTGAATTTTTTGACACAGTACTACCATGGGTCATGGTACCCATACCATTCACACTGTCTTTGTTCTAGTAGTGCGAAGAAATAAATTGAGGTAAAATCTCTTTAGCATTCAACGTTAACCTTAGGTTTGTCATACAGAAAAACAAATGCGCCTTAAAACTGGCTGTTTAGTGAAAAAAAAGTTGAAATCTCGACGAGAAAACGCTGCAACCTTTGTTGGCTATAATTGAATCTGAATGTGGAATTAGATAAGAAACAAACCTAAATGAGATATTCAACCGAGCGTTAAATCTGTGTAAAAGAACCCGACAAACAAAATATGCTTAATACAACATAGTGTTTACATTACCTGAGTTCTCCCCTTGTAGCTTCTTCTGATAGTCGTCATCCCCATACAGCCCGTCCACCAGCTGCCCCAGTCCGCCCTTCATTTGCCCCCCTTCCAGGATCCCATCGTAGCTGATATCCTCTAGATTAACATCTGGGTCCCGCGATTCCCCTCGGGGCGCGTTGTACCTCATGATGTTTTCTGTAAAATCGCAACCAGTTAATTATCGCGCGATCAACACGGTGAGCTAGGCTTAAGAAAACTTTTAATTTAACAACGCGAGCGAAGATGTGTTGATGACGCCCCCTGCACGTGACAGGGGTTTACGGCATTATGTATGATCCCATGGTGCGGTATATCTTCATTAGACGCCGAGGTCCGTGGGGATCAGGGCCGGCACCAGGAAGATACGCTAAAGGGTTGTGCGTATGCAAATTTAATAACGCGACCCGTTCGAAATTCAACCCTTAAAAACTTAATCTCGGGACAAACAAACGATACGATGAGGTGCGCTACCTGAGCGGTGGGGGTCCGCAGGACGGGGCGTCAGGATGGGTTTCGCTATATTGAAACGTCGCCGTCGAAGAGGATGAGCTGTAATAGAGCTAGAGCGTGATGTGTGCTCTTAAATATGTAAGTTGATGGTTCTCGCGATGAATAATAACTCTTCATTATATTCTATGCAACGGATATTATTTAAATTGCCTTTTGACGCGCTCTGATTAAATTATTAGTAATGTATGAAACGAGCTGCAATATATCCTCGAGTTTCATTGAGATTGAAGTGCTCCTGATGCGAAATGGAATGTAATGCAAATTAGCAAGCCACTGAACATGCAGTGGAAGTAATTGATTTGATTAAAATCGCCGGTAGGATGTTTGCTAAAATTCAAGAGTGTATTAATCGTTGTTTCACTATTATATCTCTAATAATAATTACTAAGTAATGTGCGATTTAGTTACCCAAGAATTTATTGACAGAGTGCTTATTTTTTTTTTACAATTTTGTGCTTAAACATGTGCATTGTTGGGATAAATTCGCAATTTCACTACATAACCTGGTATGGGTTGTCTATGGCTGAACTCAGAAAGTTAGGTTATGTTATGTCAACAAGAATTAAACTGTCGATGTATCTAAAATGCTTTATTTATGATAAGAAACATATAATTAAAATAATTAAATTTACAACAACTGCTGGAAGTGCTGAAGGCTTGAAACTTCGTTTTCTCAACTTTTTCACACTTATACGATTCTCATTTTTAGGTCTTTAACTGTATCCATTAATTGTTTAAAACTAATTTTTTTCAAAGTCAGAAACACGACATAATCTAAAGGTGTCAAATCAGGTCATCAAAGTGGGTAAATATGGGCCCTGTGCTAGCTAATTGAACGGTCATAAACTTATCTCAGAAAGAATAAATAGATAATAATATTGTCTATATAGAGCGTTTTTAAGTGTGTACGATAAGTTGATAGATCCAAAGTAAGATTTTCGAAATATTCGGTTTCAAAATTACATTACTAAAATATCCCAAAAATGGCGACATTTCATTTTGGCGATTCTGGAAATATGATTGAACCATTCGAAAAAATGACGCTCAAAATAATTTCTTTTAAGTCGAAACCAACAAAAAAATCTCTTTCGGTAATTTTCGAAGGGTGTCCAAAAAACTTTTGAAAATCTGAATTTTTGCTAAAGTTGCCGAAAAATGTAGAAAAAAATCTGCAATACAGATCTCGACGAGCTGATTTGAAAAGCAGCTTGGTGCAGCTCCAGAGCAAAACTTTCGAAATATTTGGTTTTAAAATAAAATTTTTCTACCGCCCACATTTTTTGATTTTCTAATAGAGCTACTAAAGCACCCAAATGACGTCAAAACGGTTCGTTAATAGCGGAAAAGGGTTCTGAAATAGACTAGTGTAATTTAGATCGGTAAGATTGGTAACCATGACGAGAAATGTCAGGTGAATGTCAGTGCCAAATGTCAAATTAAAATTTCCCGTATTTCGGGAGGCGTAAGGACTTCAGTAACTTCTTCACAAGACATTTTAACCAATTTCGAATTACAGTTGTTGTGAAAATTCGAACCTCAATTATTTCGTGGTTAGTGTCAGACCAACCCATCATCAACCACGACACAATTTCCCAGATTTAAAAAAACGCAAATTTCAATTAAATTTTGCGAAAAAACGTGCGCGGTAGAAAAAATTGTATAAATAACTCGTTCATAAGGCCATTGTGGCACTCATCCTTTATATAACTCGCGGCTTCGCCGCTGTTTTTTAGTAATTATCGAAGGTCCCAAAAAAATAAAAATTTTAAAAAAGCAGATTTTAAAAATTTGACATTTTGACACTTGTCTAAAAATCCACAAAAAATTTGTGATATAGATCTCGACGAACTGATTCGAAAAATTGTAAACGTTCCAGAGCAAAATTTTCTAAATATTCGGTTTCAAAATAAATTTTTTAGATCCCAAAAATGGCCGAAAATAACTTATGCAAGTCGAAATTAACAAAAAAATTTCTTTAGGTAATTTTCAAAGATGTTCGTAAACAGTCAAAAAGTTAAAAAAAGTGGGTTTCGAAAATTTGAGATTTCGACAGTTGCTAAAAAATCCATAAAAAATATGTGGTATAGTTCTCGAGGAACTAATCCGAAAAATATTAGCTTGATGATAGGTGCAGAGTAACATTCATAAAAATCATAAAAATGGTATTTTATTTTGGCGATTTTGGAAAAATAGTTTCAATATTCGAAGGATTTTGAAAATTTAAAATTTTACCTAAAAATCCACATAAAAAATCAGTGTTATAGATCTTATCGAGCTGATTTGAATAATATAGCCTACTGACAACTCTAAAGCAAGATTTTAGAAATAATTATTGAGTTTCAAAAGTAAATTTTTAGAAATCCCAAAAATGGCACTTTATTGTGGGTATTGTGGAAAATGGCTGCAATAGTAGAAGAAATGAATCCGGAAATAACTTATGCATGTCGAAATTATCAAACAAATCTTTTTGAGTAATTTTCAAAAGTGCTCGAAAAAATAAAAAAAAATCAAAAAAGTGGGTTTTTAAAGTTGAAAATTTTGATAATTGTCTAAATATCGACAAAGAAATCTCTGAAATAGATCTGGATGAGCTGATTAAAAAAATAATGCCTGTTGACAGCTCCATTGCAAGATTTTTAGAAATGTTCAGATTCAAATTTAAATTTTTAAAATATTACAAAAATAGCATTTTATTTTGGCGATTCTGGAAAAATGAAATGTAATATTCGAAGAAACGAAGCCGAAAATAACTTATGCAAGTAGAAGTTAACAAATAAAATTGTTTGGCTAATTTTCAGAGTTGTTTGAAAAAAAGTCAAGAAGTTCAAAAAAGTAGATTTTGAAAATTTGAGATTTTGGTAGTTGCTAAAACGTTCATAAAAAAATCTGTGATATAGATTCGAGGAATTGATTCGAAAAACTATAGCCTGTTGATCGATCCACAGTAACATTTTCCAACTCTTTAGTTTCAAAATAGAATTTAAAAGTATTTAAAAAATGGCATTTTATTTGGCGTTTCTGGAAAATGGTTGTAACAGTCGAAGAAATGAACCCGAAAATAACTTATGCAAGTCGAAATTAACAGAAAAATCTGTTTGGATAATTTTCAAAAGTGCTCGAAAATGTCACAAATTTCAAAAAAGTGGGTTTTGAAAGTTGTAAATTTTGACAGTTGCCTAAATATCGACAAAGAAATCTCCGTAATAGATCTAGCTGAGCTGATTAAAAAAATAATGCCTGTTGACAGCTCCAGCGCAAGATTTTCGAAATGTTGAGTTCCAAAATCAAATTTTTAAAATATGTGAAAAATGGCATTTTATTTTAGCGATTCTAGAAAAATGAAATGCAATATTGCAATATTCGAAGTAAGTTATGAAGTCGAAATTGACAAAAAATTTTTTCTTTGGCTAATTTTCGAAGGTGTTCGAAAAAAGTCAAAATGTTCTAAAAAGTGGGTTTTGAAAATTTGAGATTTTGGGAGTTGCTACATAATCCATAAAAAATCTGTAATATAGATCTCCAGGCACTAGTTGAGAAATTACAGGATGTTGATAGATTCAGAGTAACATTTTCCAACTATTCGGATTCAAAATAAAATTTCTAAATATTTCAAAAATGATATTTTATTTGGCGATTTTGGAAAACGGTTGCAATAGTCGAAGAAATGAACCCGAAAATAACTTATGCAAGTCGAAATTAACAGAAAAATCTGTTTGGATAATTTTCAAAAGTGCTCGAAAATGTCAAAAATTTCAAAAAAGTGGGTTTTGAAAGTTTGAAAGTTTGACAGTTGCCTAAATATCGACAAAGAAATCTCTGAAATAGATCTAGATGAGCTGATTAAGAAATTAATGCCTGTTGACAGCTCCAGAGCAAGATTTTCGAAATGTTGACCTTCAAAATCAAAGTTTTGAAATATATCAAAAATGCCATTTTATTTTGGCGATTTTGGAAAAATGGTTGCAATATTCGGAAAAATGAAGCTAAAACTAAATCAAGCAGGTTGAAATTAGCAAAAAAATCTCTTTGAGTAATGTTCAAAGGTGCTCGAAAAAGTAAAAAACTTACAAAAAAAATAGGTTTCGAAAATTTAGATTCTGGAAGTTCCCTAAAAATCAACAAAAAAACAGTGATATAGATCTCCACAAGCTGTTTTGAAAAATGTGGCCTGTTGATAACTCCAAAGAAAGATATTCGAAATAATTGAGTTTCAAAATAAAATTTTTAAAATTCCCAAAACTGGCATTTTATTTTGGCGATTTTGGAAAAATGGTTGGAATTTTTGAAGAAATGTGGTTGAAAATAACTTCTGCAAGTCGACACTAACAAAAAAAATTCTTAGCTAATTTTCAAAAGTGCTCGGTAAAACTTCAAATATTTAATACTCTGCAATTCTTGAGTATTAAGCTTGTCAATAAATTCCTGCAGAATTTTCTGATATTTCTCAGCTGTAACTAACTCCTCGAAGAAAATGGGCCCAGAAAGCGGTCTTTGAGAAATGGCACACCAAATTCCAATTTTTTGTAGATATATTGGTGTTTTTTCAAAGTAACCAGTTTTTGTCACTATAAAATGTTATTTCGAGAAAACCGTAGTTCATTGTTTGATTAAACAATTGCAATGAATCTTTTTTTATAATCAGGTTG